ATCTATGTATTGTCGAGATCCAATCTCGTTCCCCGAGCCTGCGATCCTTGGGAAGGAAACGAAGGCTCTGGGATAATCCATCTCAAAAATGAATATGATTGGTTGTTGGTATACAATGGAATGTTGCAATTTTGCAAAAATTAATTTTTAACCGTATATTTTTATATACAACATGGCGGCCGTTTAGGAGTGTACGAATATTGTTTTGGTTTTTCAGAGCTGTGCTATATACTAATACTACAAAGGAAATGCAAAGAAACGTATACTTAATGCGTATAATATCACAACAGTTAAATGGAGCGTGAAAACTTTACTCATATTTGTGTTGTACAGGTTTTCTGTAGTTTTAATCTATACATAGTATAGAGTACTGAATTACTGTCAGTACACTCTACACTGTACTATTTGACTATAATATCAAATATGTGCTATATTTTGCAAATAATATTTGTGTCAGAAATGGTTAATAACTTTTATTAATTTGTCTTTGTGTTATTTAATTGCGAAGAACTAGTTAATGACTAGTTTCAATAAATCCAATCTTGGGATTTACTGTTATATATTTTATTATTTAATGTATATACTGTGCTGTAAACTTTTCAAGTGCAGGAGTATGTAATACTCATTTTAACTTGTAGCATGTAAGCCTTCCCTATATGGGTGCATATGAATCTTTTGCTGTTATAATTTATTTATAGAAGAGTTCAAAAAACCTTTATTCTCTAAATAAATCACAATTTCACAGGCAGTGATATTAACTTGTATTCCAGTCTGCATAGACCTAATGCACCTATCAATGTTAACACCCGAGGGGGGGTCGGGCATATGTGGGGTATTTGATCATCAATTGCATCCCCACCCTGGTGATTTTGAATAGCATTTTGGCCCCGAGTTGGGGCAATTTGAACCGAATGACTTTTATTAACATAGTATTTATTGCAATTTATTGCAAAATGGTGGGGCATTTGACCAATATTTATTGTCCGACGGTGGGGCATTTCATTGAAAATTTGCTCTAAAAATCAAATGCCCCACCTGTGCCCAACCCCCCTCCTCTGGGGCTTAACATTGACAGGTGCATACTGCATAATACATATAATGAATTCTTGGGTTTCACTATGGCATTTTGCACGTTCTGTCATTGGTTCTGACGGGGGGACAACCTAAAGAATAAATGTATTGATGCTTATGTTGTACTGGAGTGAGCAAATGATATGAAATTACATGTATTTGCTACCAAACACAAGGCCAACACATACAGTGAAAAATTAATTCACTCTGATGACTGTGTCTCGATTTAGAGTTGACCACCCATCAAATTTATGAAGTCATATGAAACACAATAATCTATTTAATGATTTTAATTTATTGAGTAGCACAATATGCCAATCCCTTTGTTAATCTTGTCCACACAGTAATTCAAAGAAGCCCTGCCCTTGTAGTTAATTGGATTCTGTCCAAGAAAACATCATAAACCTTTTGATACAGATGTTACAAAGTATGAATTTCAGATTGGGAGACCATATAAATATTTTAAATAAATTCATATACTACTTTTTTTAAGAAATGTTCTATTCATATTAAATGACAGTGATCAGCCACCAAAACCAGAATTCGTTTTCATCAGCTTCCCCCTGGTTATGACCCCCTGCAGGGAACCACCTAGGGTACAGATATAATTTTGTGATGAATGATAAAAAATTGCCCAATATAAATGCTGAGCCATAGAAATATTTTTATTACCATGGTCATGACAACTACCCTGTCAATTTGATTGCAATATCAAAACTTGTTATTTACACTATAAAACAACACATACCTACTCTGAGAAGGGGAGGGGCAACAAAAACTCGTATATTTCGGTTTTTTCCCTTCCTTTCCAATTCAAATTATGCTGCCACGAAAACAATTTCCCGATTTCCAATACAATAAATTGCCAAATGCCTGACAATTTGGGCTAGCGACACCCCTGAATGCTATAATGATAGCAACCGCTATATCTTCAACCTTGAATGTCGTATGTAGTACAGTACCGGTAGTTAGTTAATTAATGGCAGTAATGAACATGAAGTCAAGTACATTTCCGGCCATTGATGAGAAATTTTGTCCAGAAGTACAGTGAAATAACAAAATAGGGTGCACTAAAGAGCATTGGGGCTTAAAGATCTAAAGTGATAATTAACCAAACAGGTAGACATGCAGATGGATAGCCTGCACACAGACTACAGTATATAATGACATATATATTATTATAATATATAGTCTGCGTGCAGGCTAGCAGATGGACTGGTTAACCCATTCAAATACCAAGTCCAATACTTTCCCCTTGACGTGTTAATCAAACAGCTTAAAATAACAAAGTAGGGCAAACTGAGGCACATTGCAGCTTAACTTGCTCCAAGTATATAATCATTGCAAACTATAAATCTTTAATACTAATTCCTATCCAGACACGAAATTTGGTTATAATTCAATAATTTGAGAAGTGCTGTTGCATATAAGGGCAGTTAAAAAATATAACAAGGATTTGGTTTATAAACTGTTAATTTCTAGAGATGATATTAAACACAATACAAACATGGAATTCACTATATTCATATTTTTAATTATATGTTTTATAAGTCTAAATTCCTTTTAATATTCCTCTGATATACAAATCTTCTGAAAACTTTAATATTATCAAGGTTTATAACCGACTTAATATTAGAATTGAGACTCTCTTCAGGTATTTTAATACTACAGTAGCAATTATTAAACACACACTATTGTAATTGTTTTTGTTCTTGAAAATTGCCCTTTCCACGCGCTCTTTCAACCATTAGAAACATAGCAGCGTTAAACGGCTAAATTATGCTGGAGGAACCACAAATGTCTCTACATTTAAAGCTTTTTCAAACTGACACAGAGGTGAATGGACAAGATTACAATTAATTGTGACATTTTTCTTCGACAACAGCACTCTTCGCGGCTCCTGCCGGCTCTATACTGACCCTGTTTCACACGCAATATTTTCCTTATTCAGTCACTAACACACCTTTTGTATCCCACTATGAAGAACATCAACATTTCCACCAAAACCCCGAAAAAATAATCATTTTATAGACGAAACAATAAAATATTTCAAACAATTTGTTTTGCTTTTGCCAACGCATGCGCAGTTCGGTCGACATACAGTTTTCTGTATGTCTGATTCGGATTATCCCTAGCCTGCATGGCAGGCGGTACGTAGGAAATACCGCCTGCCGCAAAACTGGGTGTAAATGAACTACCGCCCCTGAAGCATCAACGCTATTTATAGATGCATTAATTAAGTAAATATTCAAAATTAGCCACTCCCAAGCTGCTCCCAAGTCCCAACTGCCGAACATAAAATAAATTCCTTGATTCTCATCACCGCCCGACTGAATTTTAAAATCCTCGTGAAAACGTTTTATTTTTCGTTATACAATATAAATGTACCGCCCGACAAAATAATTCAAGACAGTTAATTTTTTTATATTTTATATAGGGTTTTTATTGCCATTTTAAACTTCCAATTTCAAACAAACAGAATTTTGAATGAAATTTCATTGTATTTTAAAGAAACTCAGTCATTCTGTCATTGTTTGTGGAGATACGAACTATTGATATATAAATTATATAAATATAAAATATAAAAAATAAATCTCCCACTGTCTTCGACATTTCAAAGTGTAGACTGTGTCTAGTGATGAGAATTAAAGGAATTTATTTTATGTGTTAATATAAACCAAGCCCGTTTAGCCGTTTAGCTGCCTTAAAACGGTGGTTTAATAAGCTCAAAATACTGAGCATGCAAGTCTATACTATAGATTCATCATCAGTCAACAACCAAACTAAAAGTATTGAACCTTATAGAACGATAGTTTTTATTTGTTTACAACTATACATATTCAACGGGTATATAAAGAGTTTAGCTTTTATTTGATAATTACTGCATCAACCGCGGCCCCTTGTTTATACTTTGGAGGTTCGTATATAATATCTATCAAGTATCTTTGGTTCAGAACATGACTGATAGGCCTATATGGAAATCCCACTGTTCTATTCAGTGAAGAAATATCTCCTAATTTCTATCGATAGTTTTAGTAAAATGTCAACATTATTGCGATTTATGGCCTTTGAAAGTCAAGCGAGATAGTATATTATCAAATTAATACGCATGTAATTGTCTGAACGAAAACATAGACTAGCCCATACCTTTCGCCGATCATAACTTCGGCCCCTTCGGACGTATCTTCTTTGGTAAATATTCTTGTTCGAATCTCTATCAATAACACTATTTAGAGTGTTATTTTTCAGCTTGTATCTTTTAATTTGCTTCTTTTATTATGTTATTCCATTTCTGGTCTGACTTGACGTGAACTAATTTCAAAACGCAGAGTTTCAAAACGTCAAAACATTTGGTTAATGATTAACATTTAACCGAATTTAGCCGTTGATTGACAACTTCATAAAAATACTAACCAATCCGTTTTTCCCGTTCACCAGCGGACGGGTAATTCAAAAACCCCTAGTTTTGCGGCAGACGGTATTTCCTTTGCTTCCCTAATTTTCGCTGCCCGTAGAAATACCGCCTGCCATGCAGGCTAGGATAATCC